GGAAAAAGTAGAATTTTTTACAAACTGTATATAATTTTTTTTTTTGGTGAGGAAGATTGTCCCTGAGCTAACATCTGTTGACAATCTTCCTCTTTTTGCTTGAGGAAGATTGTCCCTGACTAATATCTATGCCAGTCTTCCTCTATTTTTGTATATGGGATGCCACCACAGCATGGCTTGATGAGCAGTGTGTAGGTCCACACCCGGGATCCGAACCTGCGAACTCTGGGCCGCCGAAGTGGAGCACGCGAACTTAACCACTACATACCAGGCTGGCCCCTAAACTATATATAATTTAACCATTAAATATATAATTTAACCATAGTGACATGAAGAATTACTGTAAAAGACATCATAAAGAAAGTGAATAAAGAAGCTACAACTGGAAAAGACATCTTTAAAACAATTCTGACCAAAACTTAGTAACTAGAAAATATATAAGGAATTTCTACAAATCTAAGGAAAAAGACAGTGTAACACAATAACGATCAAAATGGCATTACACAGAAGAGACAATCTAATGGCCAAATAACATATGGAAAGGTAATCATCTTCAACAGTAACCAGAAAAATTTAATTTAAAACAATGAAATAAGATTTTATACTCATCAATCTGATTGTTAAAAAATGGAAAAAATCTTACAGTATCAATTATAGGGAAAATGGTGATGCAAACACTTGGAAAACAGTTTGGCATTACACAGTAAAGCTGAAATAAGTATGTATGCCAAGACCCAGCAATTATATTCCTTGGTGTATTTCCTAACAGATCTCTTGCATATGCAAATCTAGAGATTTATATGTTATTATCTTATAATTTTATGTTAATTATATGTTATATATATCCTATTGGGTATATACCATATTTTATAAATAACTATACTATTTTTTTTAAATAAAAAACTTAATGGATAGGTTGAAGAGCCAAAAGGTTAGAGTTGAAGAATATATTAGTGAATCAATACAAATCAAGACAAGGAGGGCCGGCCCCGTGGCTTAGCGGTTAAGTGAGCGCACTCCGCTGTTGGCAGCCCGGGTTCAGATCCTGGGCGTGCACTGACGCACCGCTTCTCCGGCCATGCTGGGGCCACATCCCACATGCAGCAACTAGAAGGATGTGCAACTATGACATACAACTATCTACTGGGGCTTTGGGGGCAAAATAAATAAATAAAATTAAAAAAAAAAGAAAAAGACAAGGAATTCTATTATAAAGTCAGGATAAATGGAAAAACAGATGAAGAGTAAGAGATATTGGAGATGATCCAGAAGTTCTAATCTCTGTTTAATAGGAGCTTAAGAGAGAAAAGAGGAAATGGTAGCAAGGTAATATTTGAAGAGATGACTGCCAGTGATTTCCTACCACCAAAAAAAGATACGAGTCCTGAGATTGAAAAATACTACCAGAAGCAAAATATGGGGGGAATTAAAGTAACCACACCTGAGTACAGCACAGAAAAAATTTAGCCCATTAGAGGAAAAGATTACAAAGGAACAAAATAATACATCAAGAAGAAAACAGGAGACTATCTTCATGGTGTTATATGGTAAGCACAGATTTCTGAAACAGGACAAAAATGTACAGATAGTGTGATTCTGTTTATATAAGATTCAAAAACAAGCTAAGGAAGAATTTCTTACATAAGACCCAACAATTGTGAAGCACAAAAGAAAAGACTGATACATTTAACTAATATTAAGAACTTCTGTTCACAAAAAGAAACCATAAAGAGAGCTAAAAGACAACTGAGAGTGGGAGAAGATATTTACAGTTTTTAGAACATGGAATGTACTCATAAGCAAAATATATAAAGAACCCTTACACATCATTAAGAAAATTACAGACAATTCAATAGAAAAACAGGAAAAAAAGCCTTAAACAGGCAGTTCACTACAGAAGAATTTCAAAAGACCAATGATATGAAAATGTGTTCAAACTCATCAGTAAGAAGTGAAATACAAATTAAAACCACACTGAAGTATCATTATACAGTCACCAACTGAAATTACCAAAATTGAAGTTTGACAATACCATACGTTAGGAAGCATGTGCAAGAATGGGAGCGCTCATATACCGCTGGTGGGATTGTAAACTAGTATAGGCATTAAAGAAAAGCTGAAAATCAGGCAGATGAAGATATGATGTCTTATGATGCATTCATTTCTCTCTAGTCCTAAACAGAGAAAATGTTCATAGTAGCTGTTTGTAACTGTCAAATGCTGGAAACAACGCAATTGTCTATGAGCAGTACAAGTGATAAACTGTGATACACTCACACCATGGAATGAATCAACTCTGACTACTAGCAACAGTAGGTATGAATCTTAAAAGCAAAATGTTCAATAAAAAAGCAAGACATAAGGGGCCGGCCCGGTGGCGTAAGCAGTTCAGTGCACACACTCCGCTGCGGCAGCCCGGGGTTTGCTGGTTCGGATCCCGGGTGTGCACCAATGCACTGCTTGGCAAGCCATGCTGTGGCGGCGTCCCATATAAAGTGGAGGAAGATGGGCACGGATGTTAGCTCAGGGCCAGTCTTCCTCAGCAAAAAGAGGAGGATTGGAATTGGATGTTAGCTCAGGGCCAGTCTTCCTCAGCAAAAAAAGAGGAGAATTGGCAGATGTTAGCACAGTGCTGATCTCCTCAGGAAAAAAAAAAAAAAAGCAAGACATAAAAGAATATATATAGTATGATTCAATGTATATAAAATTCAAACTCAAGTAAAACTAAACTACATTGCTGTGGGTGGCACTCTTAGGTGGTAAAACTATGAAGGGACACACAGACATTGTGGACACCAAGAGATCTGTGCTGGTAGTGTTGTAGTTCTTGACCTAGGTGATGGTTCCATGAGAGTTCATTCCATATTGTTTGAATGTCCACCTATAGCTTGTTACTTTTCTGTATATGTGATAATTTCCAATAGAAAGAATTAAAATATATGAATTCCCTGCTAGGCATATCTATCTCTGCAGGCACAGGTGGATAGATAGATCAAAGTATAGAAAAAGAGGCCCTGAAATAAAAACTAACATAAATCAGAACTTATTACTGAATAGGCAGATAAAACAATGATGAAATAACCAGCTGATAAGTAAATGGTGCTAAAATAAGATGTGTGGATATGTGTGTGTGTGTGTGTGTGTGTGTGTGTATGGGGGGGGTGGTTGATTTGGACTCTCAATGTATACCTTATTGCAAAAGAAATTTAAAATGGATTTAAATGCTATAAAACAAATTGCAGAAAATTAAAAAAGAAAAACACAATAAAATATCTGTAAAATTTGTAGAGGCCAGTTAATTTTCTAAACTCACAAATCATAATAACCACAAAGGAGCTGACTACCAACACATTAAAACATACATATTAAAGATGCTAATCCAAATTAAAACTACAAAGTAAAAGCACCCTCTGGAAATGGGTAAATAAATGTTTTTATTTCACAAAGTCCATAAAAATTGACTGAAAAAATAAGGATAGTAATAGATAAAAAAGTGTAAAATACAGTAGTGAACAAGTTAAAGACAATAGAACCATTAAGATGAAAATGTCTGTTCTCACTAGTACTCCATATAGTGACACTAAAACAGTCCAGTGTACTAAGAAATCATTGTAAAATTTATTAGGGACAATAATGGCATTAAAGTTATGTAAGGGAGAAAATGTCCATATTTTTTAGAATTACATATTGAGGTTGTGCAAAGGTGAAATGACGTGAGGTCTTGGATTTATTTGAAAATATTTCAACAATAACAGGTATAGATGAAGCACTGGCCTCCCTGGCTGCTCCTCAAACACAGCCAACACACATCGGCCCCAGGGCCCTCGAACGTTTGGCTTTCTCTCTCGTGAATGTTCTTCTTCCCAGTAACCACATATAATGATTTACTACAGTATTTCTTCAGGTCTCTGCCCAAATGTCACCTTATTGGAAAAAGTGTCTCTTACCATGTCACATAAAACAGCACCCACTATCCCCTTTCTCCACTTTGTTTTTCTTTTTAGCACTCACTATTACCCAATATATTATATATTCATTTATTTGTGTATATACAATAAATAAATAAATAAATACACCCTGGAGGGTAAGCTGTGGGAATAGAGATCTGCATGTTCTGTTCACTGCTGTAACCTCAGGGTTGAGAACAGTGCTGGCTACTACGGAGTATACAGTACACAACAGGTACTCAATAAACATACACCGATGGAATGAATGTGCTGTCCTGTTTTTCCTCCTTCATATCAAATCTCTTTATCTTTGCCAGCTCTCAGTTCTCCAGGAAGGCACAGACTCTTTATTTCCCACATTCTACCTGAGGTCAATGGCATGCAGGCTCCAATCTCCCGCTATGACTTCTACACGGATCAACCCCTTTTCCACACCTTTAGCCCTCACCTTCTGCTGCACTCTCTATTTTAACCTCTCTTATAGTGGTTCTACTTTACAGAAGTTATAGACAGACATGTTCCAGTACTCCTATAAAGCTACAAATTCTGAAACTGCTTATTCCTTTTTTAATCTCTGCAGCACCTTGCAGAATACCTCACACACACTAGAAAATCACTAAATGCTCATTATAAGTATGAATGAATCAATGAGCGTATGAACTACTGTATCTAAAAAACTCTAAAGAAAATAAGTCTTTGGCAATGTAGAAAAGACTATGTTTCAGGAGACAGCAATGCTTTTTTAAGACTAAATACAAAAAAGGATGAGAAGCTTTGAGGAACTAGACCCAAAACACGGATAGAAAGGAATCTCATTAGAAAGGGTGCAGGAGGGGACCAGCTGGTTAGAATTGGGAACGAGGTATAAGAGGAGAAGAGCAGGCAGAGCATACTGAGTAAGCGGAAAGGTAAGGTTATTTGAAAGCTCACGCTGAAAAGGCTTACTTTTGCACAACAGGCCTAAAGTTTTTAAGGGGAGCTTCGCAGATAGCATCTCAAAGAAGCAGACTCTCCACTGATGAACTGGGTTGTTAACTGCCGGGCCTCACTTACCTCGCCACTGGCCTCTTGTTAGTTCTCTGTCAACCAACCAAGGCTCCTTCCCCTGCTCCAAGAAGGAGATCACATCTGGTTTAGAAATAGAGTGTCCTGCTTACAAAAGAAGTAACAAGACAAGTTTACGATGAGAATGTCCCAGAATTCAAATCCAGTCCCTTCATTAAGAAAGAGTCAAAGAAAGGAATAACAGATTTATGAAACAATAGAGGATTTGAAACTTCCCCCATAACTCAATGAAGCTTCCTCTAACTCAACAATATTAAAAACATTCCTCTGGGAACAGGATGTAGAAATCCAACTGGTTACTTGAAAGGTAGGTGAGCATTTCACAATGAAGGACGGAGACCTTCTGAGGGCAGAATCTGAATTATTATGGACAGATGTCCTTACCCATTGAAACCAGGTTGCTGTAATTCTCCAACATCACATCTCTGTATAAATCTCTCTGATCATCATTCAGGCATTCCCACTCCTCCTGAGAGAAGTCTATGGACACATCACTGAACATCACTGACTCCTGGAACAACAACCATGTATATGACTTGATTAATTTAAAAAAGTGCTTTTGTGAAGGAAAGAGAGAAGACAAAAACAAAGACAGAGGAAGTGAAAAACAGCAAGCATACAGAGTGGTGCTGAAGGTCTGGAATGCAAGTGGAGGACCGTAAACAAATAATAAGCCTGACTGAATCTCTGTGCGCCCATGTCATTCTGTTTCCTCCAGATAAAACTGCCTGTGTATAGTGGGACATCTCCATTATCCAAGTAAGTCTGGGAAGGTACAAACTTGAGCTAATATGAGTTTCCCAATTAAATGAAACAGTATATACAAATGCCTGGCACAATACTTGTCAAACTATACGTCATCACCACATGCGAGCTTCTTTCTCGCTCCTCTTTCCCAAATAGCTAAAAGTAAAATTTCAGAATAAGGGATAAAGAGAAGACATTAAAAGCATCCGGAGGAGAGTAGATCATATAAAAGACATCAAGAATCAGAGAGGCAATGGGGTTCTGAACACTTCCACTAAAAACAAGAAATAACAACAATTCTTCAATATTCTGATGGAAAAAAGAAATCCTGACCTAGACTTCTATAACCAAACTATCATTCTGTTGTGAGGGTTGAAAAAAGACATTCCTAGACATAAAAGGACACAAACACAATTTCTTAGGAAACTACCAGAGGATGTGCTCCATCAAAATGGAGGAGTAAACCAGATAAGAGGAAGATAAGATTCAAGAAATAGGTGAATTAACACAGAACAGTGAAGGAAAATCCCAGGAAAACAAAAAAAGGAAAGTCTTGGGAAAACTGAAGCAGGCCTAGAGAGTAACCAGACCAGATGGGAGTAGAAGGGACGGAAGTCTCCACATTCAAAAGGAATTGATGTGTTTGACCAGAAAACATCTTGACTGGCATGTGGCAGACATTCTGGAGATTTTGGATATAAATACATGGCCAACTAAGCAAATGGGGTGGTGGCGGGGAGCAATTAGCCCCAGAAAAAATGAAAGGCTGTAATACAATAAAGCCATGAACTGGCTAAACAGTGAGTGATATTTGTCATAATATTATGTACACTATTGATTTAACCAAAAATTGTGATATAAGTAATAAGAGAACCAGGGGAAATGAAGGGTGCAATACAGGAGTACAATGTCCCTTCCACTCTGCAGTAAGTTAAGGGACAATGAGTAAAACTGATTCATCAAAAGATAGCAATTAAACCATTTTCAAGTGTTGAGGGCAGCCACCTTTTGGGAGCAGGGCTGGTGATGAGGCAAGATTGGAACTGTACTACTTCCCTTATAAATACGTATAAAATGACTTTAAAAAATATTTTATCTTAGAAAATTAAATTTGCATATAATTCAAGACTTGATCCATTCTCATGTCACACTACCATATAATAAGAGTTATTCTTTGTTACAAAAAACTCTTTTCATAAGCATATTTTTTTTTACTGAATAATATTCTATTATATGGATATAAATTATACCTTTCTTTTGCTTACAGACATTGAGGCTGTAGGTGATCTTTAAAGACCTCCCCCAACATTGGCTCAATCTTCCTTATAACCACCTTTTGCTTAACTGTAAATTCCCTTTGTTCCTGAGTTACAGGAAATTGATGGAGGATGATCCAGATTCACACAACGGCGTTACTGAAGTCTGTTTATCATGGATGATCTGGTGGGGTGTCAGAGTTTTGCACTGATCACTAGTCATACGCCCAAACCTGACAGGCTCATACACCAGGAGATCCTTCCATGTATTAAGACTAAAATCAAACAGAATCATTCCACATATTCTCATACTGGAAAATCTAGGTCAACCACGTAAGAGGTGTCTCTAATTATTCATTTCCATCCTATCAAATCACCGTCCAAGCAAATTAGATTCATTAACAAATGGGAAACACACTTCTGTTCTATCAAGATTTCTGGCAGAAGTCTGAGATAGAAGATGCTGAAGGACTTACTAAATGAGTTTGTAAACATCGTTTAAAAGAAGAAGGGGGAACTAGGGAGGGCACTGGGTTGTTTAGGAGGAAATGGGGCTCAGGTTCCTGAAAGGGGACTGTGTTAATCAGCAACAAAAAATTTTTCCAAAGCTGGTCTTAATCAGGCCGTTTTTTTTACATTATGTAATTCACAACCTCTTTGTGGGAACAAGTAAGGATTCTTGATGAAATCTATAAGCAATTTTCTGATGGATTTTAATTTAAGATATCTTCAGAGAAACTTGTTATCCAACCAGTTGGCTCTCTAACAGTTATCTGTAAGTTAAAAATGTAAATATTTTTTTTTTGTGAGGAAGATCAGCCTTGAGCTAACATCCATGCCAATCCTCCTCTTTTTGCTGAGGAAGACTGGCCCTGAGCTAACATCCATACCCATCTTCCTCTCCTTTATATGGGACGCTGCCACAGCATGGCCTGACAAGTGGTGTTGGTGCGCGCCCAGGATCTGAACCTGGGCCGCCAGCAGCGGAGCGCGCACACTTAACCGCTACGCCACGAGGCCGGCCCCAAAAGTGTCAAGATTTTTAACCAGACATTCTTTACTTTTTTCCAACAATGATTATCTAAGCACTTCTTTTTTCTACAAATATCTCCAGTGAGACAGAAATTTTGAATTGGCTTATTAGAAACCTTTTTCTTTAGAGCAAGGGTAAGACAACTTTGGCATTGCTTATAACTAAACTGTCTGAAAGTTTTTGTTTTGCTTTTTTTAAACAACAAAAAGCATCATGATGAGGAAAGGGGTAAAAATGACTCTATTTGAGCAAAAGGAAACAGCATCTCACCTGAGCCATGGCTTTGATATTTGCAGAAAAGTACCACTCCTCCTCTGGGCTCCTCTTTTGGAAAACAGCAGAGCTGGAGGAAGCAAAAGAAGATCCTCGTTAAGATCCCAGTTGCCTCATAACTCCCAGCATGATCATTTCCCCTCTGTTCACTCCACACAAACACTTGAGGGGTATTAGTGAGAAGAATGGGCAAATCTCTCATTATTCTCAACTCCAGAAACCTTAGGCTTTGACTGGAGCAGGATAGATTTGCACAACCCAATATAGCTTGGAACACATAATTCGTATACATATGTACATACACACAAAGATAAAAATTTTTTAATACAAATCTTAGTATATTATACACACTGTTATACATATTGCTCTTTTTTACTTAGTATATCTTAGACCGGATCCCAACTAGTACATACAGAGCTACATAATTCTCTTAGATACATTGTATTCCATTAAATGGATATACTTTATTTAACCAATCTGCTGCCTATGATCATTTGGGTTGTTTCCAGTCTCTCACTACAACAAACAATGCTGTAATAAATATTTTTGTACATATTTCACTTTACCCATATATGAATTCTGAATGATTAATCTCTAAAAGTCGATCATATGCATTTTAGTTTGGATATACATTGGTCAAATCAGTTTTCAATGATCTTGGATTGTACAATCAGGTCCTAAGTCCTGACCAAGAAACAACTGATTGATAAACCAGGTTCTCTAATCTCACCTTGTTGAGAAGACTTTTGGGGTTAAAGAGTCTTGCCTTAAGATAATTGAAATCCAGAAAAGCAAAGAAAGTAATATTACTGAAACTTTAGGAAGACGTTAAAATTAGTGTAACAATAGGAAGGAAATAAAAAGTACAAAAAAAGTACAAATGGACTAAACCCACATCATTGATGCTTTAGAATAGCTTTTGACTGTAAGTGTAGTAATAAAAATTGTAATAATTGTGTATATTCTGCATGCTTAAGATGGAGTAACTGAATTTGTGATCAATGTTTAAATGTTTAAGAATTTTTTTTCTTTATTAGATATAGGAATATAATAAACTGAGCATTATAAAAGTATAAAGGGCAGTGAGCATTCCTCTCTATGCACAAGGCTTCTTGATCATTAAACAATTTATCAATAATTTCAGGTAAAACTGACAACCCAGGAAGTAGCACCAAGTTATCAATTATTTAATGGCTTCTTCTACCCCTACACACTCGCTGCATTCTCCCAGGGGTATACACATTCCAGGAAATGAAAACTAAAGTAATCCACAAATGTCTCTTCCTTAAAACTTGAAAGTACTCCTTTAATATTATTATTAGTAGTAGTATTTATTAAGCTCTTAGTATTCTTTCATCAACCACATAGCCAATTATGTGCCAGGCATTGTGCTAGATACTAAAGAATCAACAGTAATCCAGAAAGACTTGGAAACAGAGTTCCTTCTCTCATATTCCTCACTTTAAGTCCCCCGTTCTGGTCTCTCTTTCCGGCCTTTCCCTGGCTAAAGGGATGTCCTCATGTGCTGCACTTTCCAAGCAGAACGGGCAGGAAACATTCTCAGTTCAATAGCTCAATAGCTTTCCCAACCCTCTTCATCTTTGCCCCTAGGGAGTATCCTCTCAGGCTGAATTCTTGCATCTGGGGGATCTGCTCCTCCCTTTTAAAGCCACCAATCTCTGTGGCCAAGACTGTAGTATGCTTGCAAAATGACTACACCTGTGGTATGGAGCACTGCCAAAAGACACCACTAAAGAGAAGAGAGTCCTTTGATATCTACTAAATAACTTAAATTTTTTGAGCATTTTGCACTCTTCTAAATAATAAATTTTAATAAATTTTAATTTTTTTTGGTAAGGAAGATTGACCCTGAGCTAACACATGTTGCCAATCTTCCTCTTTTTGCTAAGGAAGATTGGCCCTGGGCTAACATCCGTGCCCATCTTCTTCTATTTTGTATGTCTGATGTTGCCACAGCGTAGCCTGATGAGTGATGTGTCGGTGTGCGCCCAGGATTCGAACCTGCGAACCCCTGGGCCACCAAAGTGGAGCATGAACTTAACCACTACGCCACCGGGCCAGCCCCCTTAATAAATTTTAATTTTAATAAATTAAATAAATAATTTTAATAAAAAATGTTTTAAATTATTTCCAGCATTATCCTGATAATTTCCTGTATGCTAGTAATTGTATTTGTTAGTAACAGAGACCTGAAAAGCAGTTTAATTTTTCATATATAATGAGAAGCCAGAAGTAGGTAGAGACTGGCCTTAGCCCCATCAGTTGTTTTAGACACAATATCTATCATACAACTGAAAATTACTAGACATGCAAGGAGATAAGAAACAGAAAATAGGAGCAGAACCACAGATAATTCAGATATTGGAACTGGCAAACAAATAATTTAAAATATTTATAATTAAAATGTTAAAGACAACCAAGGAAAAGATAGGCAAATGGGTAAGTTAAGAAATTAAACAAAATTGAAATCTATACAAAAGAATCAAAAAGACAATCTAGATCAGCAAAGTAAGAAATTAAGAAGTCACTACAGGGGCCCGACTGGTGGTGCAAGCAGTTAAGTGTTCGCACTCTGCTTTGGCGGCCTGGGGTTCACAGGTTCGGATCCCGGGTGCGCACTGATGCACTGCTTGTCACGCCATGCTGTGGTGGCGTCCCATATAAAGTAGAGGAAGATGGGCACGGATGTTAGCTCAGGGCCAATCTTCCTCGGCAAAAAAAAAAGGATTGGCAAAAACTTGTTAGCTCAGAGCTAATCTTCCTCACTAAATAAATAAATAAATAAATAAATAAATAAAAA